TTACTCCACCGGGGGAGTCAAGCAACAGGGCAGCGCAGATACGTACCCACGTGACTGGGGCTCAACAACCTCTTCTTTCCTGTCGCGACACGTGGTGGCTCTCACAGCGATAACGAGCGGCACTCAAGACAGCGTTGTATCGGTTTGTTTCCCTCCCTCCTTTGTTGACGTTGCCAAACGCTAATCCTTCCGCTATCTTTCGAGTCCCCAGATTTCCCTTACCCCCTTGGACTGTGCTCTATTACTCGCAAGCAAGTATCCGAAGAAAGGCACGGACAGATGTTGGTAATCCGCAGCAAGTATCCGAGGCAAGGCACGGACAGATGTTGGTAATCCGCTATTGAGAACGTACTGAGCCGGTCTTCCTAATTTCTTCCTTTGCCGAGACTCACCATCGACCATGTGGCGGTTGTAGTTAATTACCTTCCAATACCTCTCTCCTCACTTGAGGGCCGAACCCACGAATCTGCCCTGAGGATGGTATGTGCGTCTTCACTAAACCAATCTCGCAAATGGGGATTATCTCCGGATTGAGAGCTTCCATGGGCGGAGATACATTGAGTAAGGTTGTACTAGTAGGCGATGGTCGATTCCCACTCAGCTCTGTTATGACTATGACTCGGGTGGATAAGAAATCAATCGTGACCACTTTCACATGAGGTAGGATTTAGTGCAAAGGAGGTGCATCCACGGACAATGATCGGTTCCTCATACTCCGTGCTATAAGTAAGGCTGTGGTTTGAATGATTGTAGCCAAGCGGAGCGTGTTCCGAGCGTGAGCTGTACCCAACAACGAAACCATCTGGGTCGCGAGAGGTAAGTTCCCGTTGTTACCATGGTAACAACCCTAACCCGTTCCTTGAACTTCAGACCATCGTTCATAAGAGCACCGTTCATCTGGTAATCCCAAGTTCTTCTCTTGCGCCATGTCAACTAACCAGCGGCTATGGAGTGAGGTAAGACCTACCCTACCAACACTATGGACTGTTCGAGAAGGGAACAGTGCTTCGAGGCATGGCCTCCACCCACAGAGGTAGGCGCGCACGTCCTTCGTCCCGTTCCTCGTCACGACGGCGAGGCTCACGGGTAAACAGCGCTACGCGCGGTGAAACGCGTAGCGGCGCAGTTACCGGAGCGCTACCGCTATTCGCCCGGTACCAGCGCTCCCCCCCTTCGCATCAGTTCTTAGGACCCATTATATATTTTTGATTAAGATGCTCATTATATAGTTTTAATAATGTTTTTAATCAAGTTTGTTGACAAATTTCCTAGGCTACTTGGCTCGCCCGGCCGTGCACCCTGGGCAAGTCGCCGGGTCCACCTCCACAGGACACCCCGTGCAGGCAAAAATCAACCCTGTTTCTCCCTTTTGGGGGGAGGGTGGGTGGCATTTTTCTGCACATGCCCAGAGGAGCTCCTTTGTCTTTTTTAATGTTGGCTGTCAAGGGGCCGCAAGGGGGGTATAAATGGGTTTTCAAGGGGCTAAAGGGGTCTAAAGGGCGGGCTGCCTTAGTCTTTTTCTGTTGTTTCCTTTTTTATCTTCGTATCCGTGAGGAATTCTGATTTGACCCTCAGCCAAACGTCGTTTGTAATAACTTTGTGTAATTGTATTACAATTCTACATAACATTTCTTTTTCTGGAAGTTTTTTTTTTTTCCTTACTTTTTTCTTCTGCGCTGGGGCTGCCCGGGACCCTTGCCCAGGGTCCATGCCCGGCTGGGCACCCGGTGTGTATC